TCCAAGCACTTCCAAAGGCCTGTCCGAGGCCTCGCCAGCTGGCAGGCTTGCTGCGGCCTCTCTGTGGCCTGTCCGAGGCCTGCCTCCTCTCTCGGCAGCTGGCAGGCCTGTTGCGGCCTCTCTGTGGCTTGTCCGAAGCCTGCCTCCTCTCTTCTTATGGGCTTCCGAAGGCGACGTTAGGCATTTTGGACCGCCTTCAAACCCTCCTCGGCAGCCGGCAGGCCTGTTGCGGCCTCTCTGTGGCCAGGCATTTTGGACCGCCTTCAAACCCTCGCGTGAAGCAGTTGGCCAAGCCTAGCAGAACCCTTCCAAGCACTTCCAAAGGCCTGTCCGAGGCCTCGCCAGCTGGCAGGCCTGCTGCGGCCTCTCTGTGGCCTGTCCGAGGCCTCTCTCTCGGCAGCTGGCAGGCCTGTTGCGGCCTCTCTGTGGCCTGTCCGAAGCCTGCCTCCTCTCTTCTTATGGGCATCCGAAGGCTGCCTCCTCTCCTCTTATGGGCTTCCGAAGGCGACGTTAGGCATTTTGGACCGCCTTCAAACCCTCCTCGGCAGCCGGCAGGCCTGTTGCGGCCTCTCTGTGGCCTGTCCGAAGCCTGCCTCCTCTCTTCTTATGGGCTTCTGAAGGCGACGTTATGCATTTTGGACCGCCTTCAAACCCTCCTCGGTCCGAGGCCTCGCCAGCTGGCAGGCCCGCTGCGGCCTCTCTGTGGCCTGTCCGAGGCCTGCCTCCTCTCTCGGCAGCTGGCAGGCCTGTTCTCCAGCCATGCAGATAGACCTGCGGCCGTCCACAGGAAGTGCTACGGTCAGCACCAGGGCTGCCGCAGCACAAGCCTTGCTGGCTCAGCACCTGGGCTGTCCAACAAGGCCCCCGCAAACAGCCGCCAGTCTATTAGCACAGCCAGAACAGAGGCAGTGCTACTATGCTTCTTGCTGCCTGTTGCTAGTGGTTTTTCTGATCTTGTGATGCTTCTGGGTCTTCTTCTTAGTGCTGCTGCTGTGATTGCTGTTGTTGGTGTATATCCTGGGGTCGCAGGGCGCAACCTTGGCATTGGCATCTCCACCTTTGTGGGCTTTAGCGCAGGCCACAGCTAGCCTGTCCGAGGCCACGCAGCCTTGGCATGGCCTGAACTGCCACATACGATGCTAACCGCCGAGGCCAGCCTCTTCTTTTCTAGGCTTCCGAAGCGACGGCCCCCCTCAAACGTTTCTCGGCGCCTCGCAGGGTGCAACCTCGGCATTGGCATCTCCACCTTTGTGGGCTTTAGCACAGGCCACAGCTAGCCTGTCCGAGGCCACGCAGCCTTGGCATGGCCTGGGCTGCCATGTACGGTGCTAGCAGCCGAGGCCAGCCTCTTCTTTTCTAGGCTTCCGAAGGCGACGGCCCCCCTCAGACGCTTCTCGGCGCCTCGCAGAGTGCAACCTTATTGGCATTGGCATCTCCACCTTTGTGGGCTTTAGCACAGGCCACAGTTAGCCTGTCCGAGGCCACGCCTAAGGCTAGAACACCCATCTTCTTTCCGCAGACGGGCAACCACCGGAACGACACTAACGCCTTCAGTTACACATGCTACACTCCTCTTGAAAAGGGGTCGGCGGCACCCGGGCGAAGCCCTTACAATTACATTATATTATATTGTATGTTATAGTATTATCTTATATATATATATATATGTACATGTGGTTGAAACTCATGTGTATGTACGTATATATGGTTGATACCACCAGAACCTTGTCCTTTCACACATGGTTGGATGGTTTTCAACCGGTTTCAACAGTCCTCCCTCCTTTCATCCCTACCGCTTGAAGCACCGGGCGTTCCTTTCCTGGGCTCTCCGGCACATCAGCGCTTGTCCAACCAAGCATTGCTGGAGACTCACATGGCGCTGAGGCACGGCCATGTGCTGCGTTGAGTATACGCCAAAGTAAAGGCCAATGAGTCTACTGAGTTGCCATGGTCCACGAGTCCACAACCGAAAAATAGATATTGCATTTTGGGGGACCTTTGCCAAAACAGTGACAAGCCTACTGCCCGTTATATATATATATTCAGAACGGGTTTGACCCTGCTGGAAATGATTGCCATGGACCATGGACTCTTTCTGGGATCTCGTTAACTTCCCCATCACAAGTGATCATTCCTTGCAGCAGCTGTGAGTGCATGTGACACACGAAGAGACGCCATTTAGGGTGTTGGTCCTTTTCAACTGACCAAACATGTCAACCCTACTTCCAGGTGACCAAACATGTTCTGTCCTGAGCGAGGTAGCACCTTTTACGTGAAGGCACCATTCGTGGTGGAAGACCTCGACGCACGCGGCCGGCACTCGGTGGATCTGCTCGGTTGACCGCGTGGTGCAGAACGATCCCACCAACCACCCAGGTGGAAGGTGAAAAGTTGCGGTCTCACAACCGCACAACCAGCACCACCAAGAACACATGTCAGTTCCATGTTTCACTCGCTTCTATGAAGCTTACAGAAAAAACATAAAAAAACAGAACATTTTTTGAGAATACCTGTGATTCCCCGCCACCCTCGAAGCCGGAACCTTTTGCTCGCGAGACAGCACTGCAACGCGACAAGGCGAAAACCACTCAGTGGCGCCACATGCTCCAGGATGAATCCTACCAATTCCGGTGGAAGAGAACCAACTGGCTTGGGGGGGGGCCTGGTGGGTTGGGGGGGGGGGGGGGGGGGGGGGGGGGGGGGGCACTTTTTGAAATAATGCTCTGTTCATTTGCGGCGGTTTTGACATCTGCTAAAAGGTTAGCTATTAGTAGCTAGCCAATTTCTGTCCATCCAAATTGGGTTCGGCTGCCGGCGGGTCTTCGGGTGCGTCGCATCAACCAAGCACCGATCGCCCATGGTGGCCAATTGTACAGGGACATTGGTCAGAAGTGGTGAGTTTCTCCCCAACTCAAAGTTCTTTTGAGATCAGGTTGTACATGTTCCTTACAGTGCCTTGCAGACTAAAAGTGCTTGTGCCAAACACCACCCCTCAGCTTGGGACTGGGATTGCACAGGCGTGTTAAAAGGACCCCAGACATGTTTGCACAGGGGGTGTATGAAGGTTTTTAAATGAACTGTGCTTCAAAAGTGCCTGACATGTTCCAAACTTGGATATTGCAAATGTACATCGCTAGGGTCCAGAGTCCCATTGCAAGGACACCAACTTGGAAAATCTCAGCCTCATTTCCTCCACGTGCAGATGTGATCATGTGACCAGACCCGCACGCGAGGTTCCATCCCCCCACCACATCCTGCACCCCAAGTGCAACCTCGATCCTCCGCGCCCCTTTGACCGCAGCGGTCCTTCGGCTGCCAGCAGCTTCGCATACTCCGAGACCTTCCGTTCCTGGCCACCATAGAGGACCCACAAGTAGAGGTCGTTCAAGCTGGCGCGCGCCTTGGGATCCGCCACCAGACCGAGCTGGACTTGGAGCATGGGTCCAAAAGAAGAAGAAGAAGAAGAAGAAAAAGTGAGCTGGACTTGGAGCATCTGCACAGGAAGTGGGCCAACAATCTCAGTCTTGCCAAGGGCTTCCGTGGATGTTGGGAGCCTCAACTTCTCTAGAAAGATGGACGATCCCAGCCCTTTTGGTGTGCAACGTCCGAAAACATCCGAAAACATCGCAGGGATGGAACATCCGAACGGGTGATCCTTCGATAGAGATCAACGGCAGGTCTCTTGACCTCCAACCAGCTGAAAATGGCTCAGCCAATTGACACAGGGTCAAAACATCTCGAGCCGAACGAGACGAGAATGGAATTTCTGTCCCAAAATGCAGTCGTTCCTCCCCAACTTCTTGGTGACATGAAAACGGAACCCAACCGCTATCGGCACCGGTTGACCCAAAAACTGGTGTGCCGTGCACGGTGCGATGAAACGAGATCCGCTGAGGATGGATGGATTTGGACTGGAGACACGAGATCCACTCACTCCGTTGAGAAACCATCTCCAAGAAACCAGCTCAGCGTCCTCACTGCCGTCGTCGGTCTCCGGAACCACCTTTCGGCGGATGGTCGTCCCGAAGGTCTCAAGGCAAAGATGGAAAGGTCGCAGGTCCTTCAAGGTCTCCGGGTACCTTTTGTAGGGAGAAAAAGACTTGTTCGCTTCCCCTGGTCGTTTCGGCCGAAATTGGTTGGTGTTCTTCAGCCAAATTCAGCAAAGATGGTTGAACATATCATAAACATATCATGTTGAGAACCACGCCTGCTCCAGGATCAACAGCCGTGGTGAACTGCCACCGGAATTGCGACTTCGTTCGAGGGCCGTGCGGAGGCACTGAAGGATCCGGCGGCACTGGACGTCGTTCCAGTCGTGCAAGATCCATTTCAGGAGAAAGACGTCCCCCTGGGCTGGAGGGAAAGAAAAGCGCTAGGCCATCCCTACTAGGTTGGAGGCCATCGCTAGTCGGTTGGAGGCCATCGCACTGTGGATGGCATTTGCCAAAGGACTACCACGAAATCCGACTACCAAACAGGTGGTGAACTCCACTAACCCATGACAATTATTTCAGGGAGTGCTAAGCCACTTTACCCATCAAAAGATGGTGGAGACCGAGACACTGCTTTGAAAACACCAAGCCAATAGACAGAGTCAAAAAATACAACATTAGGAGATGAGACACGTTTGAGAAAGAGTAAGAGTATATACGGAAAGCGAACGAAAAATCGGATGTGCTGTGACGGATATCACCCACAGTGACATGGAATCGTGCCCACCTGGTGATCCAGACGTGGACGTGGAATCTGAATCACTGGGTTTGAAAGTGGCAGTGGAAGTGAAATTATGTTGCTCCGTTCGCGCAAAGCAATTTGCTCAACAGGTCTGTAGTGCAGTGAATACTTCTTTCACCACTCCAAACGCCAGCCACAAACCCCTCCCAAAACCAAACGAAAGAAAAGCGAAGCAGAACTCGCCTGGCAGGGCAGATCTTCAAAGAAGTTCCCCGGCACCAAGGTCACACGCTCCGAACCAAGATCCTCACACGTCTCCAGAACCTCTGGACGGTCGAAGAGAACGCCTCGCACGGGAGCTGCCGGGAGACCGAGTGGACGGACCCCTGAAGCTCGGTGGACGGACCCCTGAAGCTCGACTCACCCCGGTGATCTGAGTGTTCGAAGCGGCAGGGATCCCCGAGGCCGGTGAGTTGGCCCAGCAAATCCTCAAAGATCCAGGATGTGAACATCTGAAAGCTGTGTGAATGCTGGAGATCCGGGGAGACCCACACCCGCAAAAATTGACCGTAGGCAGAACTGGCACATCTAACTTCTGGGCTGGTGGGCTTGACTGGGCTTGACTGGATCCAGCGTGATCTGTTTGACTGGATGATGTCGCCTCACCTCGCCCTTTGCGGACCGCGGACCGCGGCCTCTCCACTCGTCATGTTTCCTCAGGATTTCCATCAGCAGATGTCCTTTGCCCCCACCAACGTCCACCACCACTGGAACCTGCTGGCTCTTGACGTCCCAGATGGGCATCTCCTCAGCGCTGGATGGAAGAAGGCTGTGTTTCAAATCTGTTTCCGAGGTCTCAGAGGTACAGAAGTTGGGAAAAGATTTTTTCAAGTTCCTTTTGTCCGATTTGTCTTTCTTTACTTTCTTCCCTTGGGCTGTCCCACTGTTGAGATACTGAATGCCGGCCCCACAAACGAGCACTGTCGGTATCCTAGCTATAGTCCTCCATGTTCTAAGACCTATTCCAAATTCACCAGCTCTTCCTCTTCAGCATTTTCAGCTTTCAGCGTCAGCCACCAGCTCCGCACTCGCACCACTCTCGCCGTCGCTCGTACTCAGCTGCAGCATCAGCTCGTCGAAGGCTTGCGAGGCCCGGGCGTTCGCGGCGTCGCCGTAGAACTCGAAGACACTGCGGCCGTGCTCCAAGACAAAGGGTGTGGCATCATTTCTTGGAGCATCTTCTCTAGGCGCTCCTGGCAGGAGCTGGGTTTTTTTTTGCGTCGGTCTCTCGGTCGGAAACGCCAGGACATCAAAAAGGGATGACCAAATTCAGTGCTTCGCATGGGGGCCAGGTGATGTTCTGTAACCAAAGATCTATATATGGGTTTGAATTTCCTTGGTTTGGACCATCTCAGCACTGGTCCACCACATTTATCGGACAGAGGCGACCAACCGTTGGGCAAGCAAGACAGGCTTGAGATGCTTCGGGTATCCAAGACCTAAAGAATTGACATCAACAAGTCAACAACTGAGAAGGATTGAAAGCATGGCTGAAGGATGCTGAAGGGCTCTGAGCTGGTCAAGCACCACTTTGGTAGGCAAACGATGGGTGAAAAGACTTTTCCAAATGAAGTGGGTCAAAGGCCTTAAACTTTGGACAGTGAGGCGAATCAAGCTTCTTGTCACTGGGTCGTCTGCCTTTGTGACAACCTCGCCTTCCACCTCGCCTTCCATGGCCTCTCCAATGCGCCACCAAGGCTTCACCTCTGCGCGGCCCGGGTCAAGTCGAAGAGTCCTCTCCGATCTTTGGAAGGAAAAGAAACCAAACGACCCCTATGGGCAGCTGGTGGGGGGGGGGAGGTGTTGCCCGGCCGGTTCCGGACATCGAACAACGGTTCCGGAACACCGGTCGGGCGTCGGACGTTGACGAAAAATAAAGGTGAAGAATCGCACCAAAAAAGCGCAAATCCTTGTTCAATCACAGTCAACATCTTCCAACTCAAGAGAAAAGGAACTCACCTCCATGCCTCTCCCCACTCGCCCCATCCTTTGTCCACCCCCCATGGTCTGCCTGCTCTGGTGCAAAGTTCACCGCCACAAAAGCCTTGCCGCTCTTCGCGCCCTCCAGGAAGGCGCGCGCCGAGCGCTGCGTGTGCCGGAAGGCGGGGCCGGCAGGGCTGGGGAACTCCTCCAGCAGCTGGCAGCCTCGGCACTGAGGATGAGTGAAAAAGGCGGGAAAATGGGGGTTGGGCCCATTTGGGTCAATGTTTCGCCCAAACACGTGAGTTGTAGACAGTCACCCCTCACCCAAGTGATTCAATTGACCCACCCGGGGAAGACTTTCTCGATGAACTGTTTGGAAACAGTGACTCGAGCAAGGTTTTTTCATGTTGCCAAAATGTCTCCCGAAAGGGATCATGGTCTCACGATATGTATATATACACTTTGGTCTCCACTTTCCGATGAAACCCAACCTCAAGTAGAAGAATACTAACATTACGTTCAAGGATTGAAGAAATTCACAAGTACGTTTTAAATCTTTTTAGCAAGCTCTTGGTGAAGCTCAAAGCCCAAAGAAGCGAAAACAACACAACCCGTGGCCCCTTTGGGCCCTCTCGAGGCTCTTGAGGCGTCCACGACTTCCTTTTCTTCTGGGTGAATCCAAACTGCAGAATGATAGGTGAGAACCCACCAAAAGAGGTTTCCAGCTAATTATGATGGACCATGCTCACCCGGGATCCCTTCTTGTAGCTAGGCCACCTGCAAGGTGATGAAGCAACTTCTCAAGTATCGCGCTGGAGCCTCAACATCGCAGGGTGACACGTTTCGCTCTGGACAAAAGAAGGGCCGTCCCTTAGAGGTGGTGGTTTCAGCCGCAAGGACAAACCATCCATCTCTTCTACCTCCCTCGCCTGTCCGCACAATGTTATCTTTGGGACACGAAGTAGCATCGCTGTGAACACTCATGGTCCGATCAAACCGTCTCTGAGACTCTTCGTTTGTCTTAAAGTTGGATAGTTTTGGAGTAACTCCGGGTGGTTGGGTCGCTGAAGCTCGACTTAGAAGGCAGCGTGCACACCCTGCCGTTTCATTCAAAGACTCGAAGCTCTCGGCTCTCTACCTCCGTTTGGCTTTGCTTTGATTCATTTATGCACTCAGAGACAATCCCGCACGTGGCCAAAACGGTTCGTTCTTTATCAAAAAGGACCAAAGGACTTAGGGCGCATCGTTGGACGGTCGAAAACCCACCAACCAGCGCCCGCCCCTTTCTTCGCTCGCTTCCTCCAAGCCGCACCTCCGCGCGGCCCGTTCCACTCCTTGGCACCGGAGCAGCTCGGCGCTCGTTTTGGGCGCAGCGGTGGGAGGTGGGATCAGCTCCAGCAGCCCTGCAGAGCTCAAAGCGTGCAAGACAGCAGCACCATGGGTCTGCTGGAGCATGTGGTTCCTGTTCGAGCTGGTGGTTCAGATCGGAACACACCGGGTGGCGCCGCCACAAACGGAGGACGGAACGAGTGGCGCCAGGGAGGACCCACACGGGACGTGTCGTCATGTGTTGACACGGGACTCGTGATGCACGATGATTCGCCATCTATGAGTCGATCAGCCTTGAGGTTTCCCCTCAACAGATTCGTGTATCCCAACAGAGTGGGGTTTTATTTAAAAAGTTGTATGTGGTCGAGAGGCATCTGTGGCGTCTTGTGGGTTGGTTTTTGGGTGCTTCATTGTTTCGAGGCAAGCAAGACAATGAACGTCTTGGGAAAAAGAACAGCAGGAGTTCTTCGGAACAAAAATAAAAGAAACATAAATAAAGACATAATAAAAGTCGTATATATACAAAATTACAAAATACAGTAAATGAGAGCAATTCCTGATTGCTTGTTACTTGTTGTCACGAATCTGTCACAAATCTTCCATATGAGATATATGAGCATTTACGGCTGTGGTTCAAAACCCCAAAGTCGGTTTCACTCTGGTGACCTGTAGCTCAGGGGTCGTCCATTCGGTGTCATTTTCCGTGGTACCCTGCGAACCCTGGGATCGTGATTGCGTGAAGTTCCATCGTAGTGGAGCACGGTGAAACGTGCGCCATTGAAAACGGCCGAAAGGTTGCTGCGGCGGCCGGGCTTGGCCATACGGACGGTCTTGGTGCGGTGAGTTATTCCAAATCGGATCCTGTAGACTGTATGCGTCTGCATAGTTTTGGGAGCCGATGGGCTGCATTCATTGTCGGTGGTCTTCACCGGTGGTGGCAGTCCCACAGTGACCAAAAATGTTGCTCATCATCAGGCAAGATTCAGCAACCCAGGCTCTGGCCTGCGACCCGCCACGCAAGACAGAACAAACGCCGATACCAAAGCTGTCTGCCAGAAACAAAAGATCTGTCCGATGACCCCTGTTTCGCATCTTCCCTCAGTTTTTGATGTAACAGTAACAGGCATGGTCCTTGTCGACATCTATGGATGTCCTGCTGGCATTGAAGGGGCAAGGGATCAAAAAAAATAAAAATGCATCAAAAAACAAATATAATTCAGGGTATCAAGAAAAAACAAAAATGAATCAATAAAAAAATAAACGGACCCAAACGAGTGGAGGGAAGCGCAATAGTCCAACTCGAAGCAGTGATCAAAAGAAAAGCAAAAACGCATCAAAAAAAAACAAAAACTAAATCAACCTACACGGATACCTTGGATTGTCCTGTAGGGCCCTTGGGTCGAGACCAACCTATCCACTACAACGGTCGGCCTCTGCCCTCTGTGTTCGGTTCGAAATTGCCAAGAATTCAAAAGATAAGGTGTTTCAGGTTTTGGAGATTCAAGAGGTCACGGTTGAGAACAGGACGCCTACATCTACAAAGATCCAAAGGCCTCGACATCCAGACAGATCTAGTGTAAAGGTGTAGAGTCTAGAGACCCACAAAATCTTGCAGAGGTTCAGATCCAGCTCTTCCAAAATTTTACTGGCGTGCTAGAATGGAATGGCTTTCTGCCCTCTAACCTTTACTACTGTACATTCGGGTGGCTTACAGAAGGGCGGCGCCGCAGCCGCGCACACGGATTCAACTCAACTGCGCACACACATTTATCGGCACTTGTGCCTCATCTGCGCACACACTTGTTAACTCAGCGTGCGCACACCCCACCATGGGGAGTCAAGTGCGCACACAGGCCCTTTCCCGAATGTTGCTGCGTATTCCAAATTTCACCCTGCGTTGCTCACTTAAAAGGGTAGTCAACTTGGAATAGCCACTTCCTTGTCTATTTTTGTTACTCTCCAGTGGCTCACCAAGGGGTGAGTCAACTTGGAATGAGCACTTCCTTCTCTAAATTTTGCCCCTGCATTGCCCACAAAGGGTGAGTCAAGTTGAAATGGCAACATCCTTCTCTAAATTTTACCCTCGGGCGGCTCACCAAAGGGTGAGTCAACTTGGAAGGGCAACATCCTTCTCTAAATTTTTCCCCTGCGTGGCCCACAAAAGGGTGAGTCAAGGTGAAATGGCAACATCCTTCTCTAAATTTTACCCCTGCATGGCCCACAAAAGGGTGAGTCAACTTGGCATGGCCAGTTCCCTCTCTAAATTTTACCCTCCAGTGGCTCACCAAAGGGTGAGTCAACTTGGAATGACCTCTTCCTTTTCTAAATTTTACCCTGCCCACAAAAGGGTGAGTCAAGTTGAAATGGCAACTTCTTTTCTAAATTCTACCCTCGGGTGGCTCACCAAAGGGTGAGTCAACTTGGAAGGGCAACATCCTTCTCTAAATTTTACCCCTGCATGGCCACAAAAGGGTGAGTCAAGTTGAAATGGCAACATCCTTCTCTAATTTTTAGCCTCGGGTGGCTCACTAAAGGGTGAGTCAACTTGGAAGGGCCACATCCTTCTCTAAATTTTGCCCCTGCATGGCCCACAAAAAGTTGAAATGGCAACATCCTTCTCTAATTTTTAACCTCGGGTGGCTCACAAAAGGGTGAGTCAAGTTGAAATGGCAACATCCTTCTCTAAATTTTACCCCTGCGTGGCCCACAAAAGGGTGAGTCAACTCGGCATGGCCGCTTCCCTCTCTAAATTTTACCCCTGCATTGGCCACAAAAGGGTGAGTCAAGTTGGAGTGACCACTTCCTTCTCAAAATTTTACCCTGTGCACAAAAGGGTGAGTCAAGTTGAAATGGCAACATCCTTCTCCAAATTTTAGCCTCGGGTGGTGCAACAAAGGGTGAGTCAACTTGCAGCTTTCCTGGCCACTGCAGGCAGCACAGGTCCGTAAGCTGGCCACCTGCAGCAGCACAGTGCTCACAACACTCTGGCCACCTCCAGCAGCACAGCGCTGACGACACTGGCCACTGCAGGCAGCACAGCTCCGTAAGCTGGACATCCAAAGGCCTCGACATCCAGACAGATCTGGAGTGTAGAGGTGTAGAGTCTAGAGACCCACTAAATCTTGCAGAGGTTCAGATCCAGAGGCCAGGGGAACAGAGGACCAAAGGACCCGGGGCCTTACAGTCGCCTCACCTCTTCAAAATTTTACTGGCGTGCTAGAATGGAATGGCTTTCTGCGCTCTAAACTTTACTACTGTACATTCGGGTGGCTCACAGAAGGGCGGCGCCGCATATTTTATCAGCACTTGTGCCTCATCTGCGCACACACTTGTTGACTCAGCGTGCACACACCCCATCGGGGGGAATCAAGTGCGCACACAGGCCCTTTCCCGAATGTTGCTGCGTATTCCAAATTTCACCCCTGCATTGCTCACTTAAAAGTGTAGTCAACTTGGAATGGCCACTTCCTTCTCTATTTTTTCCCTCCAGTGGCTCACCAAGGGGTGAGTCAACTTGGAATGAGCACTTCCTTCTCTAAAATTTACCCCTGCGTTGCCCACAGAAGGGTGAGTCAAGTTGAAATGGCAACATCCTTCTCTAAACTCTACCCTCGGGTGGCTCACCAAAGGGTGAGTCAACTTGGAAGGGCAACATCCCTCTCTAAATTTTACCCCCGCATGGCCCACAAAAGGGTGAGTCAAGTTGAAATGGCAACATCCTTCTCTCAATTTTGCCCCTGCATGGCCCACAAAAGGGTGGGTCAACTCGGCATGGCCGCTTCCCTCTCTAAATTTTACCCCGCATTGGCCACAAAAGGATGAGTCAAGTTGGAGTGACCACTTCCTTCTCATAATTTTACCCTGTGCGCAAAAGGGTGAGTCAAGTTGAAATGGCAACATTCTTCTCCAAATTTTACCCTCGGGTGGCGCAACAAAGGGTGAGTCAACTTGCAGCTTTCCTGGCCACTGCAGGCAGCACAGGTCCGTAAGCTGGCTCGCTGAGTAGCTGGCCAAATGGGGGATAGAACAGGAGTTCAAAAGTGGTCCTTGTTGTTGTGTGTGTTTTTTGGGAGATGCATCAAAAAATGCATTAACATAGAATACATAGATGCATCAAACAATGCATTAACATAGAATACATGACAACACTTGCCATTGCAGGCAGCACAGCTCCGCAAGCGGGCCACCTACAAAAGCCATCGAAAACCAAAGGCAAAAGCCACCAAAACCCAAGAGCCACCGAAAGCGAACCTTCCTTCCTGCCTTGCTGCCTTTCTTCCTTCCATCCATCCTTCCTTGCTTCCTTGCTTCCTTCCTTCCTTCCGTCCTGGCTTCGTACCTTCCTTCCTTCCTTCCGTCCTTCCTTCCTTCCCTTCCTTCCTTCCTTCCTTCCTTCCTTCCTTCCTTCCTTGCCTTCTTGCCTTTCTTTGTTTCTTTTCTTTATTTTTTTATTGATGCATTTTTATTTTTTTCTTGATGCATTTATATTTTTTTATTGATGCATTTATATTTCTTTTTTGATGCGTCTCCCATTGGATTCAGTCGCGCACCTACCTTACCTGGCTTACTTGTGCAGCTGGGCTATACCTTAGGCTCACCCAAAACAGCTCAGCTTGTTCTTCGACTCCCTGTCCATGTCTGGTTTGAAATGGGTGCAGACGTGGACACCGACGTGGCTGCTATCCATGGAGCCCTGCAGCCAACGAAACCACACTGGCACTCGTGTGAACCTAGAACTCCGTCAAAGAGCTACAGCAAAAAGGAGTTCAATTCAAAACCTACCCGAAGTCTCTCTTACCCATCAGGCAACCCAAATCCACCCATTCCAACCCACCAAGTCGATCAGGCGATCGCTTCTTTCGTCAAAACCCCTCACGGCGCCCCTCACGGCCCTCCGACCCAAGTGGCGAGGCGTCTTCTCCGCGCTCCACGGAAGGCACCCTCAGCGGCGAAGGGTTGGCCGCGGCCCAAAGGATTCCTGCGAGGAAGGCCGCCAGCAGCAGGCCAAGGTCGGAGGGCTCAGCGCTGAGGGCCAGCGCTGGGCGTGGCGCAAGGACTAGGCCGAGTAAGATGAACCTGTGGAAGCAAAATGAAGCAAATCAGCGAAACGCTCAGACCGCGAGCGGCCCCATTTCTGAACGTCAAGGACTGCACGACATCAGACCAGTGTACCCGAAACGGGTCTGCCCATCCCGCTGACAATTTGACGATGCCGTGCAACTATGATAAACATGTCGGTAGATGTTGGTCAAGTGATCTCCCTGTCATCTTAATATGGCTCACTGCAGGCCCTCATTCGTCCGAACCCTTCACCAGAGCAGTTCTTGAACACGAATGTGGAGAGGACAAACATGTCATTCCGGCGACCATCTCTCGGTTGGACTGGGAGTAGTGGAACACCACCGGACATGGGCAGGCTGGGCAGGACGTTGGACTGACATGGGCAGTTTCAACTAACACAAGCGCCAGTGGCGCTTCAGGAAACGCGCTGCAAGAGCAGAAGAGACTTGCTGTTTCTATGGAATCACGTCAGGTCCTGGCACAGTGTGGAGTCATGTGATGTGCAGGTTGTCTTGTAAAACAAAACGTATGAAAATGTGAGAGGTGGCCAGTCAAGTGAAAGTACCAGTGATGGTATAGCTGTGCTGCAGCTAGACCCTGACGCACCTGTTGGATGAATACAAACCAGTGGTGACATCAGGGTCCACGTGGCACACTGGGCGGATACCTAGCTGCACTGACCAGCTCAACAGGTCAGCGCCCTATCCAGGAAGCAAAAGCTCCTAGACACCCAACAAGCACCAGCTTCTGTTTTCACAAGGTCCTGTCTCCAAACAGAATAAAGTAGCGCCAATATCCAAAGATGTCTTTTACCACCAAACAGCCGCGACATCTGCGGATCCATCTCACCTTGCCGGTGCTTTTGCTCCACTTGCGTCGGCTCTTGGGCACCCTTTCGTTGCAAGGCCTTCCTGACCAGGCCGAAGTCCCCTGCGCTGTGCAGTTCGGGTCGACTGCGCGGCCCCAAATCCACGGTGAGCAAGAGTCATTTGGAAAAGGGATCTTGAGCTAGGCCTCTTTGAACACAAGATGTTTGGTTCATTAGTTCCTCAAATACATCCGTTTACTCAAATCATGAAGTCATGTGGTCCTGGTCCTGCTTACATCAGCCAGCGTTTGGGTCACAACAGGGGTCTTCCTCCAACAAAGAACCTCAAGACGTTACATAACCTGGCACACAACCAACTGCGTGCAGTACCTACAAAGAGTGGCCAGGTACAGTAGCAAATAGAAAATATAAGAGTTAAGTACAATACTCCACAGTCCGCTTCCGTCCAGTCTGAACGATTCAGTGGTTCAAGCTTAGAGACTCATTGGGTTTGGACTCACTTCACTCCTCTGTGAGTTTCCATGGTTCTGTGGCAGTCAAATAGTCGCTCTGTACAAACCCCTAGTGGAATCTTGATTACAGTAATGGGACCCCCATATGAAAAAGGTTTTACAATCCAACTGTAACATACTGTAACTGGAGGGTTTTGTTGATCAAGGGTCTACATTTCCAGAAACCCCAACAATCCAGCCAGCTGGGTGCCTTAGAAACGTCCGCGAACTGCAAAGGACCAGCACTGTGAAAGCGACCAAACGCAGCCATGAGCAACGCGCAAACGACCCCGTCAGGCGTTGTGTTCCTGCCATCAACTCCAGGTCCTGCAGGACCGTGGTCTGAATTTGGGGAATGTCTTTGTCCGGCGACCTTGGGACTCTGACCTTGGGAATATGGTTGACAAAACCTCATTTGCCATTGCAAATCTGGTCCCAGATCCCCAAAGCTTCATCGTGCGATGTACCAACATTGGTCCTCGACATGCTGTTGACCTGCTGTCTGGTTCGAACTCAAAACCCTTGCTTTGGCAGGTAGAAGCACGACCTTGCCTTCCAGCATCAAGAAAGCCTTGCCTTTTGACTGCTCTTGTCTGTGCCGATTGCTCGGTGCCATGTTTCAGTCTGTCGAATGACAGGTTCGACAAAGCCACGTGCCGCTGTAAATCGCTCAGGACTCATGATTTGCCTTGCTCGATTCCCTGCAAACAACGACGCAAACAAGACTTTGGGCGTTTCAGGCTTTGGTATTGGCTTTGGTCATCGAATGTTCGAGATTTTATACCATGAGAACACGTTCACATACATATATGTATATAATACATATATATATATTATATACTATATATATATATTATACTATATATATTACATATTTTTACATTCAACAGTGATCAACTTCTCAGCAATTCCATGCGAATAGCCGTGCAAACCCTAACCCTAAAACCCCAAACCCTGACAATCCTTAGTTACCAGTACAGTTGATTGGCTGGGTGATCAAACCATGCATCTTGGTACTATTGATACGAACAACAGAAATAGTGACGTGCAGGTGCAGGTGATGTCCGTTGAACCTGCTGCAAGTACTTTCTTTCTCGAGTTGCAGTGGCTCTGAACTCTTGTGCCTGCAGAACCTCGGGTGAAATCGCAGTTCCCTTCCATACAGCTCCCCTTTTCTCAGCAGGGGGCCACCGGGGTCCCAGAGGCACCTCTTTTTTTAATCTGATTGCTACCGTGGTTCATTTGTGCATGTCTTGCAGTTACATGTCTTTACTGGAGTCACACTTGTGCATGCCTTGCAGTTACATGTCTTTACTGGAGTCACACCTACGCTGAAGCCGTTGTCTTGTCTACTTGCTACCACCCTACTAGTATGCGATGCCTCCACCCTACTCTTGGTTGGCCTTCTACCCGGGTGCGACGACCTACTTGGCCTTCTACCTGGGTACGACGACCTACTTGTGCTGACTTTAGTGCGATGGCCTCCAACACCTAATACATGACCTGTCTTCTCAGGCACCTGGTCACTTAGGTTGCCGTGTGGCCAGCGGCATTCGAGTCAGTACGCAATTCTATAAGTGTGTCTGACCTTCGTGTCAGCCCAGGGTGAGCCCGAAGAGTGCCCCCTGTGGACCCGTCGAACGGGGGTTTGTCGAACGCATCCCCGGCCCGGATACAGAGCAGCTCGCAGCGAGCGTAGGTGGCTTGCGCCAAAGTTACGCCACCACCGGGTCAGAGCGAGCGAAGTACTATTTTAGTTGGAACCTGTCGGGACCTTAACCCCCTTCCACCCCCTTCCTCCTCCTCCCCTCCCCCTCTTACTTCTTTGACATGTTTGGGGTACACCCCTCTCCCTGGTGTGTCCCTGGACGCTTGCTCGTAGCTGGGAACACCTGTCCCTCCCTTCTCTTTCTCCTCCTCTTTCTTTTCCCTGTCTCTTTCTCTTTCTCTTTCTCTCTTTCTCTTTCTCTCTTTCTCTTTCTCTCTTTCTCTTTCACGTGCACATTTGTCCTAACCTTAATTTTTCTCGCCTCCCCTCGGGGTGTGTGTGTGTGTGTGTGTGTGTTTGTATCCTTTGGAGTCACAAGGTTCCCGTTGGGTTGTTTAGCTTGAATTTTTAAGCAGGGGGTGCCAGGGATGCACACTGGACTGGCACCAACGAAGACGCCAGTGTTGCATCTGTGAAATCAATCCGGGACGCCGGATTGACGTACCTGCTTGGAAGGAAACCTAAGTAATGGACAAGCTGTTCCACTTCCGTGTTTTGCAGTCATCGTCTCGTGCTAAGTTCTGACCCCTGTTTTCTTAGTTTTTTCACTTAGGCTGGCGTGTGGCAACCGCTTTCAAGTCAGTACGCAATTCAATAAGTGTGTGTATGATGTACAACTCAATCTCGACATTGTCAGCTTTTTGCTCTGGACACAGCAACTTTTTCCCGTAGCAAGTCAAGCTTTAGGCCTAGGTTCGAACTCTGTCCTGGAGCTTCACTGCTAGGCGCAAGACTGATCGCGCCTGATCACAGCGAGGTTTGAAGCTGCAGCACGGTTGGCCTTGAACCTCTCAACCACTGGTTGGCCAAGATCTTCAAACTCTTTGTCAGTTGGAAACAAACTCAAAAACATCTGACCCTTTACCGAGGTGACTCTGCCATCAGCTGCTTAGCTGCTTTGGCCAAGCGATGAAAACCGCGAAACAAGTTGTTGAGAAATCCGCCGGCCAACTGGAAATTGGACCGCCACATGCTGGTCAAATGGCGAGTGAAGAGCTGTTGGAGCCTAGGAGGTTTGAATCACAAAGATAAAGAGCAAAGCTCGGACATTCACAGCCGAAGTAGGACTCTTTCCGGAGAAAACAGCATGTTTGCGTATGCCTCAACTTGAAAGTACCTGCTTGCTCTTGGGAACTGATCAGCTTCACACCTACAACCCTATGTTTTGGCCCCATCTGTCCGATGGAATTTAGACTTGCCAACCACACCAAGTGGGGCAGAACTCAACCGCACACAGACGAAAGAAAGGCTTCAGCAGTGAGAGCTGCTTGCATTTCTGCCAGACTTGCTGCTCTTTCTTTCGACCCTGACGGCCTCATCAAGAACAACTGGATGCTGCTTGGACACAAAAACTTGAAACTCTGAACCCAACACCTGGCTCAAAAGCTTGAACCGCGCTGAGCCCCAAAAGCAATCCACGCAAGTTGACATGGATGTCGGGCAAGTTGCGCAAATTGGAATCTTCATGCTACTGACTTAGTTCTGAAGGCCGCCTGCACAGGGCACAGGGCAAGACGATCTACTGCTCTTGGGTCATTGAAGGCAGGTCGCGCACATAAGGAGGCTTCTGATGGCAAGCAAGCGCTTCTGGAAAAGCGCGGAGACACATGCAGAAGTAGCCAAAGTCAACCCAGGCCAGTGAGGTTTTCAATGCAGTGTCACAAAGGTTGTAAGGACCATCAGTGCTGACGAGAAGGACCACATAGAGAGAACGCGGAAACATGGCGTCACCAAGTTTTTTCCTTCTCAGTCCAAGCAGGGGGATGCAGTGTGACAGTTACACAGAATCTGCAACTACCATGCTGCAGAATTGAAATGCTCGCTGTTTCTTTAAGTGAACAGTTTAATTGACATGCTCTGCAGGACCTGCCTTTCCCTTCCCAAAGTCTGCTGGCATATTGGCAATTAAGCCAATGTCCAAACAAACAACACAAACAGGAGAACGTGCCTCGATTTCTCGGTTTAACAAATCTTCAGGGTGAGCTGCTTGCCACGGAGTGTGTCCAAAGGTCAAGCAGTTCTGTCATCTTGTTGGAGCCACTTGCCTAATCTATGCTTCAAATCTTCAAGGCCCAACTCTGGGTGTTTGGCAAGCTGAGCGCAGTCCCTTTGAAGAAGTCCTTCCCCATGTTACCCGGCGAAGAAGCATCAAGCTGCCCAAACACGGCGAACACTGCTTTCTTACTAGTATTTACCGCTATGCGAGAATCGTGTAACTACAACGCACTCACGCATAACTGAAAAAGGCAAAGCAGTGGGCTTCAAGTTGTTACACCAGACTCGGAGCGAGGCCACGTTTTAAAGAAGAAGCGCGGTTTGCTACATCCACCCTAATTTCACGGTCGTCTCGCGGACCTTCTCAACTTGATGGATGCGGGAGCTTCCAGGATCTACAATCGAAGATTTCTGACGTAACGAATTTTGGCCCAACACACCCATGTCCAAAAACACATCCTGGTGGACCGATGGCTTCCCAAACCATTTTGACAGGCATCCGCGGAACAGATTCAAACCGATTGACCCCTAGACCTTGGGGGGGGTCGATGTGCTCAGGAAGCAGGAGAAGGAAGTAGCACAGCTTCTTAGAACTTTGGATCCCTCACATACCAGGGTCGTTTGGGTGCTGACCTCCGCTGTGCAGCTTGAAGCATCCTGTAGGCAAAGCTTTGCACAGCTACTTAAAACTAAAGTGCCTCTTAAGTTTACGGAAATTGACTTT